CTCCGGTTCGCTCCTTCCCTCCCGCGACACCCGCCCCCTCGCTCCCCTCCAGTGTTCTCCCCGCCTTCCCACGCCCACCCGCGTACAGGTTAGGGAGGGAGGAAGCGAGATATGCGCGTCCCGACCGGAGCACCGCCGGCGCAGGCGCCTTTCTACCCTGGAGGCGGAACCTTCCCTCACGTCCCCGCTTCGCGCGCGACCCAGAGAGAGAGAGAGAGAGAAAGACAGACAGAGCGAGAGAGAGTGAGAGAGCCCGGCGGCCGCGCGTGCGCACTCGCGCCAGAGGGCTGCAAACGCTTCCGGAGAGAAAGGTCACGAGAGGGCGCTGTGCTCCTAGAGCCGGATGTTTTCAACCTGCTCCCTTCTCCCAGTAGGGTATCTCTTTTTGCACTCTTGCTTGCCTGAAAACGCAGAAGCCCATCCTCTGCTTTCTTTACCAAATAGCAGCATAATGTAGTGGCTGAAAGCGCGGATTTTGGAGTCGGACTTAGTTTCGAATCCCAGGTTCACCCTGAGGATTAAACGCCGCACGAGACAGGAAAGATCCCTTCTCTCATAGGGCTTACATTCCAGTGAGGATAATCAGATAATATAATAACATAATTTTAAAAATTAACCAGTGCTACAAAAAACAAAACTGAGGGGCGGTGGTGAAAGGAACGACCTCTGAAGCGACCTTTGACCCAAGGAACAGCAAGGGGCCTGCAGCCTTGGGACAGAGAGAACCTTAGACCCAAAGGGCCAAAGACTGCTAATAATGTGGCATTTTCAAGCGATCAATTGAGAGAAGTATTTCCCAAGAGACCAAAGTTGATCCAAATCGACTACAGCTCTCTGGGCTTCAGTTTCCTTTTTAAAAATAAGGAAATTGGTAATTTATACTGCCCCTGACCCTCACTGTCTTTTTTTTTTAACATCTTTATTGGAGTATAATTGCTTTACAATGGTGTGTTAGTTTCTGCTTTACAACAAAGTAAATCAGTTATTCATATACATGTGTTCCCATATCTCTTCCCTCTTGCGTCTCCCTCCCTCCCTCCCTCCCTCCCCTCACTGTCTTTGTGTGGGTTATGAATCAGATTTTTCCACCCTTTGACCTTTGACCTTCCTGAGCACCCCACCTAGCCCTACAGCTCCCTTAGCCAAAATACATAAAACACATAGGAGAGGTAGCAGGATTTCCCTGCTTTTGAAAAGAGTAGTTGACAGAAATCGCATGATGGAAAAAGGGCTCTTACCCTACCCTGAGAGAGTCAAGTGGAATGTGTGTGTATCTTCTATTCCTTTGTTACCTTCTGCTGCACCTAACCCCCAGTCCAAGCGGAATACAGTTCTAAGCAGTGAATAGAGCTCCCTATTTAAGTAGAGGCAGAACACACAGAATTGAAGCACTGTGAAGAGACTTGAGGGTAAAGGTGGCAGGTTGAATCCCATGAATACACATGACACATTTACCTCCTCTTCCTCTCCGAACCCCACTGAAATGACAGTAAGAGGATGAGAAGGGCATAAATTCACATGGACAAAAAGACCCGAAGAAAGGACAATAGCAGACAAGAGATGTCAACATCATTCGGAAGCTGGAGAGCATAGATAAATGGAAATGGCTTTAGCAGAATGGAGAAAGCAAAGTCCTGGAGTAGGGAAGCCAGGAAACAAGTTGATTGATGCTGAGGTATAATAGAAAGGCTCAAGAATTGGAATCACCAGGTACCACTGAAGGTGAAGGTGTAAATGGCGCTAAAAACAAGAGGACTGGTTACAAGGCAGTTAAGGAAGCAGTTAGACTCTGAATCCCTTTCCCACCCAGGTAATGAACTGGAGGGTTCTCCTCTGAAAAGGCTGAACCAGAGAGACTTCATATCTGTGACAACTGAAGAGGGAGATATCATGCTGAAAATGGGAAGATTTCGTAAAAGGCAACATTCTGGTCAGAGAGTCAGGCTTCTCCCAGTGATAGACTATAGGATCTATTGACTGAAAAGAAATGCACAACCTAAAAGTTGAGAGTTATGTTTTGTTCGGCAGACATTCTGAGGACTTCAAGCCCAGGAAATAGGACTCTCAGATCACTCTGAGGGACTGCTCTGAAGAGGCAAGGGGGGAGCCAGGATCTATAGGAATTTTTGCCACAAAGACCAGGTAGTCGGAACATCAAATATTACTATTAATTAAAGAAAACCAGATATCTCAATTTAAGGAATTTAGCACTTATCTATGTATGGGAAGATGCAAGAGTCTGGACTCACTGAAATCACTCCTTTGATATGCACCTCAGCTATCTGGGGCCAGTAGATTCCTCAGGGTGCACTATTGGGGTGGCTGCAGCATGGGCATTCTGTTTCCAACCAGAGTTCCCTCAGGGCTCACCGTCAGGGAGGCTGTAATGTTATGGCTTGATGGCTGCAACATCCTTTGTTTACTGACATGGCAGGTGATATTTTTCATTCACAGATCCTGCTCTGGGAAATTGACTGGCTTAGTGGAAAAAACCCCGACACTTACCAAAAATGGGAGTGAGGGGTGGGTTCTCCTCAACATACAGGTCTTCTTCCTGCCCAAATAGCCCACAGAGAAGTCCATCATTCAGGTAGCCCCATTACACAGAACTTCCACCCAACTCTTATGTATGAATGGATAGCCAAGGCTTACCAGACATTGAAGGAAACCTGTAACAGGAGAGACAGAGACAACCTCATCCAAAATCAAAACAAGACAAAACAACAGAAAAAGGGGATTCAGAGGAGTCAGAGATAATGGAGGTAGCAAAAGAAACCTGAAAATAATTATAATCATTGTCTACAGAGACATAAGATCACATCAGGGAACAAGGGTCCACATCAGGGAGCATAAGATACCAAAAAAGAAAAAAGAATGTTCAGAAATTAATAAATAAGTTGGAAGTTAAAATTTCTTAAGCAGAAATTAAAAATCCAATAGAAGAGTTAGAAAATAAACTTGTGGGAATTTCCCAGAAAACAGAATAAAAAGACACCCAGGTCCAAGCCACCTTCACTTTCTCCTTAATTATTGCAATAGCTACTAAACGTTCTGCTTCCACCCTGACCCCCTACACCAGCAGCCCCCAACCTTTTTGGCACCAGGGACTGGTTTCATGGAAGACAATTTTTCCGTGGCCGAGTGGTGGGTGTGGGGGTGGCGGATATGGTCCATGTGGTAATGCGAGCGATGGGAAGCGATGGGAGCAGCAGATGAAGCTTTGCTGGCTCACCCGCCACTCACATCTTGCTGTGCGGCCCTGTTCCTAACAGGCCCCGGACTGATACCGGTCTGCAGCCCCGGGGTTGGGGACCCCTGCCCTACATTGTTCAAGCTACGGTGATCCTGCTAAAAAAATCAATCAGTTACATCAGTCCCCTGGTCCAACCCTCCAGTGGCTTTCCCTGTCATTCACAGTAAATTCCACCGACCACCACTTCACCTCTCAGACCTCATTTTCCTCTCTGCCCTCTGCTTCCCTTCTCTCTGAAAAAACTGGCCTCCTGGCTAAGCCTTGATCCCATGGGCTTGCTCCTGCCTCAGCCTGCCCCACTTAGGGGCTAATGTATATACTATTCTTTCTGCCTATTATTTTTTCCCAGCTATCCACTGACATGGCTTTTGCCCCCTCATCTTTATTCAAATGTTAGTTTCTCAGTAAGATCCCTGATCACCCTATTTACAGAGCCCTGTATTCTGAACTTCCTAGCCTCCATCCCTAATTTTACTTTTCTCTATTGTGCTTATCACTTTCTAATATGTAATGTAAACTCCATGTGAGCAGGAATTTTTGTCAGTTTTGTTCCCTTCTATATCCCCAGCATCTAGAATAATGAATGGTACATAGTAGGCATTAAATAAAGATTTGTTGAATGGATAAGATGGAAAACAGGAAAGAACAGATGCGAAAGTGTGAGGATCAATCCAACATCTGAATAGGAGGATTTCTAGGAAGAACAGGGAAAAACATGGAAGGAAGAGCATTTTAAGAAATAACATGTAAACACTTTCTGCTATTAATGGCCTGAGTTTCCAAATTGAGAGGGCTTAGCACAATGGATGAAAAATAACTTGCTGCCATGTACAGCATTGTGAAATTTCAGGACACATGAGACAGAGAGAAGCTCCTTAAGGTTTCCAAAGAAGAAAAATAGGTTGTAAATGAAGGACCAAGAATTGGAAAGATCTTGGTCTTCTGCAAAACACCAGAGGGGAGGAGACTGAGGAACAATGCCCTGAAAATTCTAGGAGAGGATGGTTTCCAACCCAGAAATCTATATCCAGTCAAATCATTAATCAACTATGAGGGATAAAAATGACATTTTTGACGTGCAAGCTACCAAAAAAAATGATTTCCCATGTACTCTTTCTCTGGAAGCCACTAAAGATGTTCTACAGCAAAAAAAAAAAAAAAGGAGAAAAACAAGAAAGAGGGAGACTTGAAATCCAGAAAGCAGAGCTCTAACCTGAGAAAGAAGCAAAGAGAGTTCCCAGCGTGACTGTGTAGAGACATTCCAGGATGACAACTGTGCAGCAGACCTAAAAACACCCAATACAGATGAGAACAGTAGGACACAGGAGGACAGAGGCCCCCAGGAATGTTGTTGGCAAAAAGAAATCTGATGGAGTATACAGTTGGTTTGAAAGAGAGATTTACACTTCTTTAAAGTGTTTGATGGGAAACATCAGGATAGGAATATAGAAAACTAAGCAAATGGAAAAAAAAGGGAATTAACTTTAGGGGAAAATTGTAGGGAA